GTAAAGTAAAGGTTGCTGGTCGATAGATGCTGCTTTTCCGCTGGTGCATATTCGTTATCATTTTATTTGGAAATTATAATTTTGATAATGTGTATTCATTATTTTTTTGTGGTTATTGAGAAATTGGATTTTAGAGTTACAATTCGAAAATTCAACATTTGTTTGTAGATCCGAAAATTCCATTATAAATTTGAAAATTGGTTTCTGGATTTCAAGACTCATTACATTTTATATTTGATGATCTAGACTATAGATGCATTTATTGATATGTACCATCGAATTTACATTACTATAGATTATAGAATTATTAGGAGTGTGCATTAGTTTTAAAGGTTTTGCAAGATAATGGCACTAATGTCGGTGTTGTCGAAGACATTCCAATCACAGCTATTGTTTCTTAATGCTTTAACATTACTTCATGATATTTAATCATTTATTAACAATAGACGCAGTAAACATCGTGTTTGTATCATCTTAAAAATGGAGTTTCGTAAACGGCATTTTCGTCCTCATGTTGCATTATTAGTAAAGTAAACGCTATTAAAGCTGAAATGGGAAGTCTTACCGCACCCCGCTGATTATCTCTTGTTCTGATCGATACAACATATATGCTCCAGAGAATACGCACTTTCATAATTTCGAAAAAATGCGAAAATTTGAAAAAAATTGTATCAATTCCGAAGAAAAATGTTTTTATCGTCGCGGTATCCATCTCTTGCCAGAAAAAGTTATAGAAAACGAAGGAAAATATTTTGGTCACGGTCATTAAGATATTCGTATAATAAATTAATTTTTGAAAAAAAAATCCCTCAAAACTAATGCACACTCCTAATATATAGATTAAATCCATAAGATTACACGCTGGGAGTTTCGATACTAGTGATACAATTGAAAGTAAGAGAGTAAGAACGACATTAAGTTTCTGATAAATCTGCATCCAGCAAGCATTGATTTTTTTTTACGAATAATATGTAGTTATTACCTCCTGTTATATATTTAGAGCGTGCACTTTTGCGCACGTGTGTTCTTTTTTGCGTTTGTAATAGCTTGATGGCGGATGGCACGTTGAAAGAAATACCGGTTCCGGTGGACGCTTCCGGTTAGCCCCGACAGCGGACAGACTACAGTACCGCTACGCGATAGCGTTGTATCGATTACCTAACGATAAATGTCTACCTGCTGTACGAAAGAACTGATCTATGCAAATTAATTGAGTCTCTTTTCATTCTTTGTCGAAAACTAATCTCATATTTATTTCAAATACTTATCATTCTTGAGAGAGATAAGTACGAATCTTTATAGTATTTGGAAAACTCGTTTTACGTTTGACAAAGTGTAACTTGTCGATACATTGCAAGAAGTTTAATTCTAGTTGGGGACAAACTATTTTGGACCTCCAGTAACAACCTCGTATATAGTCAAGCGATATTTAACAAAATCGCGTGAATTATCGAACTGATCGAAGAGACTCATTGACATGACGTAAAACGCGTAACAATTCGTACACGTGTGATTTCTTTGTCTTCATCAGAGGAAATGACTTTATACGCGTTCGTCTTTGAACAAGAAAAACTTGTTAATGTTATCTGTATTGCCATTATCAATCGGATGATTAATCATCCACGCCCTCTTTGAAAATCTGATATTTTGATCCTTCTCTGTTTATTTAAATACTAAACATTTTATCATTAAGATACTTAATGTAACTTTTCAAATGTAAGTAATGTAATATATATATATATATATATATATATTACATTACTTACATTTGAAAAGTTACATTAAGTATATATATATATATATATATATAATAAGTAAGATATATATAAGTCCACATTTATTCTCCATTTCTCGCAAAATATAACTGTACCGAGAAGAACCGACTTGAAATTTGTCGAGAAATCCAATGACAAAGTAGGTGACGAATTAAGCGCGTGCGTCTTGCGCAAAGATCAACGTTTTACCGAACGATGTAACGGGGCATAATTCCCTGCGTGCGTTTTTGCGCGCGGTGTGCTTACGCGCTATTCCACGTTATTCCGCGATATTCCGCGCGGGACGACAGGTTTATGGCGTGTAATTATCTGAGGATAACGTTTCTCTTTATTGTTTCTTTTTTTTTCTTTTTTTTATCTTTCTCTCTGCGTTCCACATGTTTATAGACGAAACTATAGACTGATTGCGAAGAAAAACATCTGGCCGATAGTTTTACACGCGTCAATTAGCCACTGTTAATGTTGTTGATCGTTCCCCATTTCACTCTACAACAAAAAAAGAGAGAAGGAAGCCTTTTGGTGATGTTATCACTTTATATGCAGCGATTAAAATTTTTACGCGAGTAATTTTTATGAAATAAAGAAAGTACGTAGCAGATTGCACCGTTGTATTGTGACAAACGCGCGCATTAAAGAAGAATAAATTCTAAAGCTCACTAAGCTATACTTTTGACTCGTCAAAGGTCAATATACTGTAGATCAAATGTACAATACATACCTATACGCGGTTCATTGAGCGCTCGAGTACTATCGACTCTTAAATGTGTATAATAGTGAAATTTCGAACATGTACAAAAGAATTTGTATCTTGAACCACTCTACATAGTAGAATGTACTTGTTAGAATCGATTAAAATTCGAGAGAGAAACGTGGACACCTTGGAGAAATTTGTCAAGTTAGATAACGTGATGATTAGTAATAAGCGATAAGCAGCAATGCGGTTTTGTACGTGCGGACGCCGCATTATCATCAGTAATTTTTTATCTTTACCTCGCGTAAAACGTCCAAGCTTTTCAATGGCGATTCACAATATTGCTCTATTGATTGAAATCGTTAAACTCAGTGCTCAGCTCATCAAGGATTATCAGTCAAGAATTATGAGTTTTGATCTTAACTATTTGGTTAGTCTAATTAATACCTTGGAAATTAGATTCAAATGTTAAAGAATAAAAATTTGAATTTGTAAAGTATTGTATGTAATTGCGAGAGACAAAGGTTGAAAGTTGAAAGAGATCGCTCGCTCGATAGGCCACTTTGTATAGGTACTTACTTTTCGACAATTGTCGGTACAAATTAACGATAACGCGGTCGTACATGGGCACGCGTCACACCAGCACGACGACGACGCGACGTCACAATGTTTCCGGTCTCACGTCACTGGATCTCCGGTTGGATCCGTCCCAAGTCCCAGCAAAACTCCCACGTAAGTACATACAACGTGCAGCAATGTGGTCAGTAAGAAAAGGCGCGTTGTTATTAACGGTGCACTAGCTGTATTCGGCTTCTCATCTCGATGTGCCGGATACGCGACACGTGTTCGAAATCCGCTATGTTGAAGCGCGTCAAATGTGTCGCGAAAAAAAGGCGCATATATATATATATGTATATTTTTTACACGAATATATTATATTTCCAAGATATTCTGCGTTTCCTCTAAATTCTATAAACGTCTTCGTGCAAGTAATGAATATAAAGTAAATACAAAGTGAATAATAAGATTTTATCTTATCTTCAGTTAATTTGAAATTGTCTTGGCTCTACAGAATTTTTATTTAATTTTGTGACTCGATCTCTAAATAGTCCACGCGAAAAGTTAAAATTGTTCCTTTCGCGCAATTCTTGTCCCTTTAAACTGATTGAATAACCAATTTAATGGCCCTTAATTTACGCTTTTCATCTCGACTTTTTGAATAATTTTTACTTCGACAAGTATAATAAAGAGCTGTGTCATAAGAGAGAATGTCAAGATTTTACGATCAAGTGCCCCAAGTTGTAAGTAGATATAGAAGAAGAGAGGAGAGGTAAAAATATATATAGAAGGAGATCACTAGGATGGGTCTCAATGATTATATTTGTCCATTGATTTTATCCTTCTTGTAGGGAAGTAGTATAGAATTACTATTTTGCTGTACAGAATTGTCATGGTAGATTCGCGGCGGTAGATTTCGAGTTAAATTTACGCTAACGCAGCGCGGCTTTGGTCGTGCCGGAGTGTTACTCGACAAATTACAAAAATTAACGTGAGATTAGATCTTATTGGCGCATCTACCATGCATATATTCATCGAAGACATGTACAGCTGATGTACGTGACAACGCTTTCGTTGCGATCATCTCTGTGAATGGACTAATCTGCAAATGTTTCAACACAAATATTTGAAATGATGAATTTTTATGCTCTCTGCACAAACATTTATTTATTTTGTGATATAACTTTCACTGAAACTATTGCGCTTGATTTCATGAAAATTTTGATAAATCAAATAATATGCTTATCGAATGTAACGATCGAAATAAAGTAAGTAAAATAGAGTTTGCCGAAAAATATTTTCTTACAGATTTAATTTCTGTTATATAAAGGAGAAAAACATGAGATGCGACGCGTAAAAATGCATGTGTCATATAGTAGGTGATAAGGACGACTTTGTTGATGCAATATACGACGTACACGGCATTATCTCGACATCGTCGTAATTTAAAGCGGCGCAAAACTTGCAAAAGCCATGTACTTGATATGCAATAAGATTTGAGATAAATCGTATTCGCAGATATTTCACAAATAATTTTCATCGCAGCGACAGTCAAAGTACAAATATACATAATATGTACATATTTATAAAAGCACTGCAGGAAAGGCGAGAACGAGTCGAATATTTTCTTTAATTCGTGCTGATGTATGTTCATAAATACTCGTGTTGCAGTATTACGTATATAGAATCACTTTTTATTCCGAGATCATATTCGATCGATACTATATTTTTCGCAACACATTCGGCGCATAATTTCCACGAGATTTATTTACTATAATTTCTAGAATAATTTCTATATTTTCTATATTGACAAAAAAATGTACAAGTACATATACCTTATACATATACGTAGTAATCTTTGGTTCTATTAAAATATTGCGAATTGCATACCCGATGATTTATTAATGATTCAAGAATGAGGAGTAGATAATGTGTAAGGTGTAAAAGATAATACTTAGAAATGATGGGAATTGTCAGTCAATTACATAATATTTTATTATACTTTCAATATCGTCCTTTCAAAAGCTGTTACCCATAGATTAAGATAGATCTACATCAACAATTTCACATATGAAAGCTAATTACTCTATTAATTTTACATAAATGATTCTTTTAGACTAGCGTATATTTCCTGTAACACCACTTTCTCGGCATCTTTTGCATGATTTGTTGTCGTTATCTGATACACCTTTCTAGTTTTGTATATAGGTATAATCTCCGCCCAATGTACGTATAATACTTTTCGAAATCGTGTTACATGTGCTAATTATCACGTTTTCTACATATATTGCCACCGTCGCTCCTTTGATATCGATAATGTAACGCTGTCCAACGGTTTCCGCAAGTACTACCGTCGCGTTACTACCGTCTATTAAACCCATGTTTCGGTCGTTAATCTATTAAGAAAATGACAAAAAAATATAAGACAATACTTTTCAACGAATGCGCAGTCCCTTGTGCAGTTAAATATGCACTTAAAATTTTACAAAAGATCCGTATGAATTTATAAAATATTTAACTGCACACATACCACAATGCGCACAGTCACCAGAGTTCCATTTCTTTCTATTGTCACGATCGATTCTTATCGCAAGATGCATGTATTATTGCGTCTTTGACGATAACGTAATGTTTGCTTTTTGCATACAAAACAGCGCAATGCTTGATTTATTCTAGTTATTTATACAGTGTACGCGTATATATACGGTATAAATATGGACTTTTAAAAATAATGGACACACACCAATAATGGATATACTTTGTTTAATAACTTGAATATCTAATATATTTTTTTGAACATATTTAAATATTCTCATTTCTATTAACATATTTTCAGCCATCGTTTTATTACAATTATTTTAAATTTTCCTAATAAAGATACATGTGCATTTAGTTAATTAAAATTTATACTCATAATACAAAAGAATAATCCATAAACTTGATAAACTTTTAATTGAAGAAACAACAAGCGTTCGAGCTCATTTCGTATTTTCTTAAATTAATTAAGATAAAAAAAGGGATGCGAATAAATACGTCTCTCTCTCTCTCTCTCTCTCTCTCTCTCTCTCTCTCTCTCTCTCTCCGAGTTTCACCGAAATAATATTCCGTCTCTGAAATATCATTCCTTTCGAGATCTCTAACCTCGCGGCACGGCGATGGATCGTCGTCAACTATCTAGAATTGTCCAACGGTATTTGCCGGACAATCAAGGATGTCGAATTTGCTCGCGGTCATTGTACGTAACGGTACGGCAAACAATAGATTCGATTGATCGTTTCGTGCGCGCGCTAGAATTACACTTCGGGGAAGATGACTCGTTAGGCATAGGTATAGGTACCCCGAGAGCACGCGGCTCATACTCCGACGCTCGTAAAGTTCGCTTTCTTCGTTTCGCGACGTTAACCGTTCCCCCCTCCCCCTCAGTTCTCGCGTTTCGCCGGCGCGGCGACCTCGGCCACGGTTCATTAATTACGAATGCTCGGGGAGGATTGGATTTTCGACAAAACACACTGTCTCGCGCGCGAGATCGGCTACTTTGAATGTTAAATAATTCGTTCGATTTAGGAGGATGCAGGGGGAATCGCACTTTACA